ACGAGAGCCCACAGGCTGGCACTCACCTGTTGTATGACACGTAGGAGCTGCCTGACTGAAGCCCAGTCCCGAGCGTCCCCATTGGTAGCAATGCAATACTACCAGGAAGATAAACGGACACACGTGGAGCATGAGATTGGTCATTAACCCCTCCGTATTGACTGTAGATCACCGTGCACCTAATGGGCTTTGCAATGTCAGATGGCTGGCTGGTCCTCGGTCCTGCTCAACATTACGCCAAAGCTTCAAATGAGACAATGAAGAGTGTGCACACGGTGATGAAACTGAGCCCGCAAATGACACGGTGGTCCATGTCCTACTCAGAATGGGATGCTCCGGACTGGATGCTGTACATCAGAGCCCTTCAGACCCAGAACAGAGGTGACATGTCATCACCTGTTACCTGGTTAGAAATTCCCTTCGGAATGAATCCATCCTCTGAGCAGACATCCAGTGAGCGTCTGCTACATGTCAGGCACGGGCGGGGGGGGGGGGGGGGGGGGGGGGGGGGGGGGGGGGGGGGGGGGGGGGGGGGGGGGGGGGACAAAGGCACAGCTCGTGTTGAAGGAGTCTAAGGCTCCAAGATGAGATGAACAGAAGAGGCTGTTTTAATACAAAGTTGTGAGTACAACGTTCCCGTGTCTGGGGGTAGGAGGGGGAGGTAGTAGCAGAACAGAGAACACAGAAATTAACCCAATTTGCAGAGGTGGGGGCTGTCAAGAGAGTTCCCGGAGAGGATGACGCCCGAGCGAGCGGAAGCTGAAAGGCTAAGCAGGAGTTGGGAGTGGCAGAAGTCTAGGCGGAAGGAGGAGCGTTTGCAAAGGCGCCGTCACGAGGCAGGGCGCGTGCAGCGGGCTATGACAGTTTTCTCAGAAAGGTAAGGGGTCTGAATGGAATATGCTAGAGCAAAGAGACAAAGGCGGAGCACCCAGCCCTGGAACGACACAATCCGATATGGCTGCAGAAAGACAAGAGTGAGCTTGGCAAGAGTTGTGGAGAACAGAGAGGGCACCCCTGACAGGGAGGAAAGACATTCCTGCAAGATAGTGTTGGGGAGAATCGGGAAGGAGGCAGAGCTGAGCAGAACTGTGGAAGGCCTGGATATTGGCAGCGAGGGAGAGAGGAGCCGTGACATTCTCATTCTCAGCAAAAGAGAACTTGACGGGGGAAAGAACGTCGTGCCTTCCAGGAGCGGCGATCAAAGATAAATTTGATTTTGCCTTTGTCACGTGGAGTTTGGATTATACATCGGACATCCACGTTGAAGCGACAATACAGAGACTCATGCAAATAGTCCGAGTTGAAGATAATGGCTCTCAGAGCCACTGACATTATAACGTGTGACAGGAAGAGGTGACCCCAGACTGGCTAAGTCAGAAGAGTAGTGAGTAGAGAGACATGACCCCTGAGGAAGACGAGCTTTGCAAGAACAAAGTCACCATGCAGTAGGCACAGGTTCACATCGCTTAAGTCAGAACGGCTTACGCAAGCAGCTAACTAAATCTACTCATTAGTCTAAGCAGAATGGCTTTTGTTGCGGGTACTCAATCATCTTTAAGAGGCTACAGGCACAGCCAGGAAGAGGTAAGCGACCATGAGGACATGTGCCCTTAACCATGAAACTGGGGGTCAGGTGTTACAGCCTCTGCCAGAATCACCCCAGATGAAGAAACCCCTCAGCCACTGTGTCATGAAGAGCCTCAACAGGATGGTCTTGTTCCACATCACTTAGCTGAAGGTTCACCTTCGGACACCGGGAGTCAACTGGACCCCGGAGTGAGATCCAAGGGAGACTTCTGTGCAGAAGAGTCAGTGAAATAAAGATGGAGTCCAAAAAAGAAAAAAGTACGAATAATCTTTATTTCTTGGAGACACATTGTAAAAATGTTAGCGGTTAAGAGGAAGGGACCAGAACATGTTTATTCAGATGCGGTACACACCCTGGGGATCAGAACACGCCCGTAAACAAGCATGGGGGGAGGAGTTCATAAGTAGGCGGTCTACTCCCCTGTGCAAGTGTGCAGGAGTCCCTCCTCCTCAAGAGACTTTTGTAGAACCAAAAGGGCCAGATTTCAGCAAGAGAAGATGTTAACACATGTCCAAGGGTTTAAAGGGGAACAAATTATAATCACACATATCCAAGTGACATAAAATGAGCCGATTGCACACAGAAGAAAGAGCATCCTGGGACTGCCTATGAAGGGAAAAAGAGGCCTGGCGAACTACCTGAAACGGGGTAAATAAATATTTTGGTATAGGTGTCACCCTGAAAGTCAACATGTTGCTTTGGGGGTTCTACAGAAGGAAGGGGCCACAGGCATCCCTCTGTGCAGCAGGCAGACTGCTTTGGCACAACCTCCAGGAACCTGGCAGGCTCGCATGTACGCCCTCGCTTCACCTCGACTGCACGCTGCTTTGCGAGGAAGTTAAACCTCGAGTGAAATCCAGCCTCAGTCCTGACAACAGTAACAAGGATGTCTTCTGAAAGCACACTGGTCAGCAGGACCAATCATTAAGGCGTTACAAAGCATGCTTCTATTCGAGAAGTAAATTCTGCCGAAACGCGCCAGGCAGCTGGCGATCAGCACGGAGGCTCAAACCCACACCCGCGAACCCATTTCCAAATGCACAATTCCCAGCCTCCCTGCGCTGACGTGCTATCGGATGAGCTCTGTGATCTTCCTCAAGCTTCTGCTACAGAAGGGGCACTACAGTTAGCTGCCTCTAGGGGGAGCTAGTCTGAATGCACGTTTGCCGCCCAGATGAGAAATGAAATTTTAATAAATCACAGAGTAGAAAGGACCCCGGAGATCACTAAGCTCAGCCCATTTGTTTTCAGGGAGGAAATGACACCAATCAAAGGGGGAATGACCTAGCCGAGGTCACGCAGCAGTGGAGACTGGGCCCTGGCACTCTCTGACCCTACGACAGTACTATGTGCCAAGCTGCTCCCCCAAGCTTTCGTTTTGCTGGTTTGCTTCATGGGGTCCCACTGGCTAAACACCCCCAAGATTATCAGGTACACAGCAGGAAGACAGAATCCACTACTTCAGTTTTAAAATCAGAATATCAAAATGATTCCTGAGCCTTTAGCTACCTTCATTTTTATTGAGAATGCAGTCCACGGTAAATCACGGCTACCTACGGAAGTTATCTTCAGATGTTGACCCGGACGCTAACAGCACTACTTAGCAACACGTGCGCAAGCACGTCCACGTGACGCCGGGATGTCTCTCGGGGAACGCAACAGCACCACGGTGGTGACCGGAAGGAAAGGCGCCTCGGTTTCTCAGAGTGCGGTCATGAGTTTGTCCCGGTATGTGACACTGTAGGCCCCGCCTAAGTTCCTCTGGTTGCGGTCGTGGACATAGTCCAAGTGGCCGTCATCTCCACTGGCTGAGGCTTTCCAGTGCGGCCTGTCATCCTGACAAGGTGGCCTGTTTTGTTTGCAGATGGGATGGTTACTGGGAGAATGGAAGATAATTCAGAAAGGAGCGAGGCCAACCACACACGCACAAAGGAAATGGCGGCGGGGGGGGGGGGCGGGCAAGTGGGGTGCCTGGCACGTGAGTGGCCTGGCGACTTCAGGATTTGAAAAACCCCTGTGTGGCCATCTACCAACTCTGATGCTGATAAAAAAAAAAAAAAAAAAAAAAACTGTTTCTAGCCATGGTTTTGCAAGGGGGGGAGTGGTGGTCAGGTCAGTCCAAGGAAAGCTAGCTGAGGGAAAAGCCTCCTCCAACCGGATGTGCAGGGTGACGGTTTGGGATAGCATCTGCCGCAAGCGTGGACCAATCACCTCTCCTCAGGATGCAACTCTAGAGAGTTCTAGCACACAGAGAGCGCTGGGTGCCACCTGGGTTCAGCTACAGATCGTGGTTCTCAGGGGACACTAAAGCCTGGCATCAGCAAGGCCACCTCCAAAGGAAAATGTTGCCTCTGGGTGAAGAGGAGGCTAGGGCATGTGACAGAGGGAAGATGCTGACCAAGTAGGCGATATTAGATAGACCATCTACCTAAACCACTGCTAACAGGACGCTAGCCCTGCTAAGCCTCAGCTGCCACTCATGTCTGAAAGATAAACTACAATTGAACGATGCGAAGATTTACCCTTACCACCCCACTGACCTGCCTTGCCCTAAAATGCTACATGAATATCCAAGTGTTAATAATAATATCAGACCGCACTGCTGAGTTACAAGGCCCCCACGTTTGCCTAACTTCCTCAAGGCACATTTGTTTCGCCCCTCAATTCCCCATGCTCCCTCAAGGAGCAAGGTCCATAGCTCCACCTCGGTCAACCTGAATTCACCAACTATGCTTCTGTAACAGCTGGACACATAAATGCCAATTAAGACTTGTCAAAAACGCAACTCTTAAGGACCTGTCTGCTTCCCAGGGGTCGCCCTGACTCCAAATGGCATGGCAGGTGCTAGGTCCTCACTCACAGGGCAGTGACAGGAGACCCTGATAGCCATAGGGCCAAGTCTCACTTTTTTTCATAAATTAAGTTTCTCTGGAATACGGTCATGCATTCGTATGCAAATCCTCACTGCTTGTTCTTGTCTTCAATGACCCCAAAGCCAAAAATACAGACTCCCCTTTGCTGAAAAAGTTTAATAACCCACAAGAAGGAGAAAAAGGCCCACTGCCACCAAAACAAACAGTGCCCTCATTCCTAAGGGCTAAACCCTTAAAAAAAAAAACCATAATCTCCAAGCTTTAATCACATTCCAAGAAAATAAAAACAAATTCTCAGAATAAGAAAATGTTAACTTGGAAATCTTAAGCAACATCTCTCATATAAAACCAAACCAAAATATTTGTGGTTATAATTTTTTTTTTAAATCTGTTGTTTCACAAAGGCTGGTCACTTGCTTCCTTTGCTTTGAAAAGCAGGGCTTCTGCCCTTGTCACGCCTCCCTGAGGGGTTGTTCCTGCAGCCTTGCAAGGGACAAGCAAACCTCCCAAAGCAGGGTCTCACAAGCTCCCGAACTCACCTGACATTTGGAGAGTGAGGGCGCCACCGGGGCTGGCTGGGGTGGACGTTAGGATGGTACTGAGGCTGCAAAGGAAACGCCAGACCTGATTACTCCGTGACCTTTGGATTTCAATGGCTGCCATGTCATCTGCTCTCTCTAGCAATGGCACCCACCTCGGGAGGCTGAGGTGAATAGGAAAGCTGTAACCAAGCCCCGGGGGAGGGGGGAGGTGGGGTGGCTGGACCTTTCCCAGGGTGATCTTATTTCTCCCACTAACAAAGGCTGGGGAGGTGGGGGGCTGGGACCCAGTGTCTGGCTCACCGAGCACCATCTCCAGAGAAGGGTCTGGGAGGCAAGGTGCCTCATCTGACTCAAGAGAAGCTACCCAACATGCCCTGGTTCTCTCAAGGAAGCAAGTGCCAGGAAGATGGGCTGAGTGGCTTCTCTCTCCACACGCCACTTTTGTTGGTTTTGAAATGAGGACAGCAGAGTTACGCGGGCACACAGACAAGGGCTGGAAGGACGGGGTAATGAGAGCAGCAGCGTTGTGGGTGTATAGACGGTACTCTCATCAGGAAGACCTATTGTTCCTATGAGAGACGCACAGAACTGAAGGAAGGAGGGTGGGAAGCTGTTCATAAGATAAGAAAGTAGACCAGCCTTGAAGCAAAGCCCTGATGAGCCTGGCAGGGTAGCCGGCTGCCATTCCACTTCTTACCTGCAGAGGGCAGCAGGCCTGGACACTGTCGGAAGCCAAGAGGCTTCCCAAGGCTAAACTAGCTGAGGGGCAAATTGGCACTCAGCACTCCCCCTCCCCGGACCTGAGAGTCACTGCAATCGCATCACCATTAATCTTTTAATTATTTCTTCCCTTCCTCCTCCTTACCCCTGCGCTGTGGTTAATAAGCAGTGGCCTGCTTTCTGTTAGAGAAATTCTGAGCAATTCTGTTCATCTAATTTTCATGGCCCTGAGATGCCCTCCTGCTGCCTATTCCGTATTCCAGTGGCCTTTCCTTTCCTTTCAAAGCGCCTGTCAGCATGCCGAGGCTGCACCCCCAGAGGACACGGTGTGGGGAGCGGAATCTGTAAGGGGTCTGTCTGCAGGAGGATCTGAGCACTGGCGTGGCGCAGTCTCCTCAGCTAGGTCTTTTAGGGGATGCTGAAGCCCATGGGGTTTGGGTGATTTTCCCAAAGCCAGCCACTCCTCAGCTCCCTGCACCGAGTCTCCAACAAAGGAGAAAGATTACCCTGCAACTGGACCCTCTAGTCTTTTCTGTTTTTAAACACCCTCAGATTCACCAAAGATGAGGTAGAAACCTTATCCACAGACTTGAAATAAAAGGGAGATTCCAGAATTTTCCTTGGTACATCTCCTTTGGTAATGAATTCACATTCCTATACTCCCAAGTACTTTAATGTTAACTCGGGTGGCTCCATCAACAACAAGGAATATATATGCATCTCTTCGCTTGCCGCAAGAACAGAGGAAAGGGAGCCGAATTTACTGGAATTCCAGGGACAATGCAAAACTGTCCCACCTCAAATGACAAGTATCCTCACTGAGAACATGGCCATCCGTCCTCTGCTGCTGGCTGACTCTGCAGAAGGAGCTAAGGCTGCTGTGTCACCTTCCCAGAAATCCTCCACAGCATCACGGTGTGACCGGGCCACTTATCAGGCCACCCTCTTCCGGTCAACTTATATCCAGACTCTGATGGGGCAACACAGGGCTGCTAAGACGGGCCGAGTGCAAGGGGCTCCCGGCGACAATGCGGAGGGATCCACGTGCAGAGTGCCAGCAAATCTGCTGTGAGCCGCACAGCCCTGCTTCGCTGTAAGCAGAACTCACTGAGGAGGCAGCAGAGGGCAAGGGTCAATGGCGGGCGGGCTGCCGTACTTTCTTTTCCAACCTCTCTCCTCCATGCACTGGGTACCCAGCAGCAGCTTTTCTCTTCCCCTAACACCCCAGTTGCACCCGACGTCCCTGAACAAGGAGCCGTTGTGAACAAGAAGCCCAAGACCCTAAGGAAGAAGCCGGGGGAGATGACTTTCCTTCCGCCAGGTTCAAAGTCCCTTCTACCCAACAGCCTCGTCTCCTCACTCTGCATGCTAGAGTGTGACTTTGTGCACAGAAGTCCTTCAGAAACCAATTGGGAACCTCCTGAGGATAACGAACATGGGCATCCTGGTCTTCACAGAAGTGGTAGCAGGGAAGGGGACACACAGAATGAAATTTCAAATGGCGATGGTTTATGGAACGGCTCTGTCATTTGTGATGTTCATAGCCGAACACCGGGCACAGAGACTGGGAGGGGGAGGACAGCGTGCTTCGGGCACTTGCTCAGGACAAGGCTGGTCCACAATATGATGCTGTGGGAGGAGATTAGGTCTTTGGGGTCTTCAGGGTCTTCAGAGGGACCCTGGTTAGATCTCCCGAGCAAAGCGGCACCGCCTACCTCTTGCCCTGGCCCCGTCTCCCCATGTAACCGTGTCCTACATATACACTCCCTGGCTCTTACGTCACAGACCCTTCACCACAGCTGAGTGGAGGCCAGCACTGTACCTCTGAACCATGAATTAAATGAACTTATTTTACTTTATAAAGAACACAATACTGGGTATTTAGTCACAGCAGTAAAAGAAACAAAGGCTAATACAGGCCTCTGAGTTAGAAGTCACGAGACACGGGTCTCTCTGCCTTTCGGCAGAAACACATCAGCACCTGGGAATCAAGGCCAGCACCATCCTCCCGGAGACCCCATCTGTCTGTCTGTTAGAACCACCTGAGGAGCGCTGCAGTCTGTGGATGCCAAGGTCCTACTCCCTAAGCGTCCATTCCGCTTTTAAAGGGCGAGACTGAAGGCAGCATTATTCTTTTAATGCTGGCCTCATGGTTTTAAGGGACGGGGCTGAATCCCACTGGAGCTGGTAGCTTCCAGCTTGCAAGAGAAAAGGAGGAGGGGACTGCTGAGTACCAGTGTATAGCATTGTACGGTACTGTAGCGTGCAGATAAGAAGGCAATGGACTCCGGGCGGATGGGCCTGGGTAAGACAGCACTGGCAAGAACCTACAGGCAGGCCGCTCTACCACTGCTGGAAGCTGAACACGGGCTCATGACAGGAACAGTGGGAAGGGACTGAGAGGGTCAGGACAGGCTGTGGAAGCCCAGAGAGGGTCACCCATAGCAGCTGTGGAGGAGCTGGCTCACTACAGGCTGGGCTACCGAGAGGGCTTTGGCAGTAGCGGGTGGGCAGGTAGGGGGCACGGACCCTGGCAGGGTACCGCCATGAAATAATACAACACTGAATATGGAAACAGAATGCCCCAGGTCTGCTGTGTGACAAATGGGGTTTAGAAATAAAATGATGTCTCCACTGGGTTTACCATGGAGGGGTGGGGGAGGACCAACAGAAACAGAACAAAGAAAAATGTGCTGGGTGTGAAGGTAACGCGCCTTTGATCCCAGCATGTGAGAGGCAGAGGCAGGAGGATCTCTGTGAGTTAAAGACTGGAACTCACTGTTCTACAGAGAGAGTTCCAGGGCAGTCAAAGCAAACCCTGTCTCAAAAACAAAACAAAACAAAACAAAAAAAAAACAAACCCAAAACCAAAACAAAGAACAAACAAAACATGTTGCCTACGAGTTTCTTCAGTACTCTGGTGCCCCAGCAGGCACAGTCAGGCCCAAGAAGGCAAGGGAAGGAGAAGTGGAATCTGCCCCCTGGATGCCTGCCTCAAGGGCTTGCACTTGCGAGGCCTCGGTGTGCTTTCACAGAAACAAGCACTTGAGCCCTGCTGAGAGGCTGTGTGCCTGACCAACAGAAAGATAACTCCATGTCCCTGGCGCCTTCGGGCTAACAAAGCTAAAAACAGGCACTTCACGACTGGGAGGGAGCAGGGTGGGGCAGGGGATTTGACTTTAAGAGTTTTCCGGGAAACAAGAACGATGAACCAAAACCTGACAAGATTTAGCACATGCTTCTCATCATACAAACGAAGACACGTCAAACCAAGAAACATCTTAGACACAGCATCTCACCTGGTAATTATGGACTTCAGGATTTGTTTTTGAGCTAAAAAGAAAAAAGAGAAATATCGTATTTTAAGTAAGGAAGCATTATGATGGATCTATTTAATAGCCATAGCTAATTCTACAGACTCCCTCCTCCGTTAGGAATGTCTGCACACCGTTTCTTTTCTGGTTACTAGAGCTTGCATGAACGTATATAAGCATATAATCAAGGAAACCACAGACACCAGCTTTCACTCCCAGTTCAAGGCTCCCGGCATAAACACCCCAGTGATACGCCACAGTGCAGCCATGACATATTGGGTTTCCTTTCAGTGGTGCGAACCAAGCAGTTTCAGTACCCACTGCAGGCCCTCCCTGGCATGGCCCCATCAGCTACAGCTCTAGTGATGATACAGAGCTTCTTACAACTGGTGGAAGAGGTAGCAGCTTCCTCGAGACACCTGCCTAGGCACTGTGGTAGGGATCCCATGAGTTTCTGGTACACAGTGACACTGTGCCTGATCCGGGCACTGGTGGTGATTGTTCATCCAAGTCAAGCCTCGGCCCTTTACTAATCTATCATAGCAGGGTGATAGGGTCCATTATGCTTACTACCACCTCAATCCACAGACTAAGGGACAGTTCCTTCAGAGAGGGTCAGCGAACCTACTAAGACTCACTGGCCAGTTGATGGCTGAGCCAGGGTTGATACAACATCTGCTCAGACTCAAAACCTATTTTCTTCCCACCAAATCTAGCTGGCTCTTGGAGGGTCTGTGGAAAAGCTCAGAGCTCAAGTGTCATCTATTTTGATTGGATCTTAATTAGAACTAGCTTGGCAATATATAAACACATGCATAAATAAGTATGTGTGTGGAATATACATGTATGGATATATGTGTGTATATATATGTAAACACATACATACAGAGACAGAGATGGATGGATGGATGGATGGATGGTTGGATGGATGATGAGAGAACATTTGTTACATAAAATGCAAGCTCAGTACCTACCAGAAACCTCACAACCCTGGAACAATCACTGGGCAGTCACTGTTACTAGGGTGCCTGGAATCAAGGTTTATTGCTTCTCTAACAAAGCGGGGGGTGGGGGGGGCATCTTTGTTCTGAACCTTACACTGGATCTGCATTGAGTTTTCAGAGAGGACTGGTCGTGAGGTCAGGCGCTAAGCCAGAGGGCTTAGGCTGGATCTCAGCAGCCGGGTAAAGCGCTCCACAAAGTGCTGTCTCCCCAGCAGCATCTCTGTGGTTCCCAACACAACTTCACCCATGGTCCCCACAGCCATTCTGCTCACCGGGGATCCCACAGGCTGCGGAGAGCAAATGAACAGCTGCGAACAGTGGTTATTAGCTCATTTGTTCCTAAAGGGTATGTTTACTGACACTTGTGTGTGTGTGTGTGTGTGTGTGTGTGTGTGTGGCGATTTTTTTATGTTTGTTTTCATGCCCGATATATAATCTCCCCTAGATTCTAAGAGGGAAATGTCACTTTATCAGGGAACTACAAACAATCATCTCCTAAGAAAGCTTACAATCCCCTGAGAATTAAAAGCAGGACCTGACGGGCTGAGAAAGAACATCCGTTTTCAGCGTATGACCTGCTGAGACCCTAACTGTCAGAGACCGCCCCACGCTACCCTACCCCGAACAGAGGCCACACCTGCAGACCTTCAACCACCCAATCTGAGAACATGAACCATACCCCCATAGCCCCTGCCATAGGGGACAACAGGCAGGCAGCAGCTCAAGAGGGTTCCCCCACCCCTTTCCCTACAGAAAGCAGACGGTATCACCAGGCCAGTGTGTGGCTGCAAGCGTGCTCTGGGACGTGAAGCTGCGCTAATTTAGCTCTCCAGAACCTGAGGTTCCTTGAAGGGATTTCAATGCTTTCTGAACTGGGGAGGAAGCCAATGAAGAGGTGGGCCTTGGTCCTTCCCTCCCCACAAGTAGCTCTCTGATTCTGTTTGTTTGCTTTTATCCCAGGCTTCTTGGGGATGGTGGTAGAGTATAAACATTGCAAGCTAAAACATTTGGGGAGAATGCAGACCTAGCCCAAGCTCCTTGCCTGCAAAGGAGAAAAAGGAAACACGGTAGGTAGAAGGCCAAAGGCTCAGGGATGCAAGTGAGAAAGCTGTTATGGAGAGGGCTCCTGAGGCCTTGGCTGGAGTTCTGGAGGCTAGCCCAGATCTCATGCCCTGTGTGCTAAGATGAACGTACATAGCACAGGGCATCTGTATCCATCTCAATGACCACCACCACCTTCGCCCCATCAGCCTTGAGGTCTCAGCCTGCGGTTCAGAACCAAGGATCTACCTACCACCCATTCCCTCCCACGACAGCTGAGCATGTCACACTTAGAGAGGAAGAGTGATGGTTTCAGAAAGGGGAGAGAAGGCGAGGTAGGAGGTAGACAGTGGCTCTCAGCTGGAGGCCACGCTAACCTTACCAGGGAAGCTTTGCAGACCAAATGCCCAAGTCACAGGTGTACAAGTGTTCATTTGGCCCAGGGCTATCCTGCCCAAGGGGGATGTTTCATAGCTCATCAGGTAATTCCAGAATTTCAGACACAGGCAGATCAAGCTAGGGAAGAGGCAGCTAATTTGACCCAAGGGTCAAATGTGGCTGACTGGTACTTATGAATAAAGTTTTATTAAATCACAGCCATGCTCATTTGTTTGCATATTGCCTACAGCTGCTACAGTGTTGCCACAGCAGCACTGAACAGTTCTGAAAGAGATGTCACAGCCCAGAATTCAAAGTATCTCCTATCTGCACCCTCACACACGCACGAGAAGCTTACAAAGTCCCATGAGGGAGACTGTCAGTCGTGTGACACGTGATCCCTCAGAAACTCTTCGAGGTGGCTTCTTTATTTGCTTGCTTGCTTTGATTATCATATGTCCGTGTGCATGATGCGTGTGCATGCCATGGTGCACGTGTGGGGGTCAGGTCAGAGGACGGCTCAGTGGAGCCATCTTTACATGGGCTTCGGCTACTGACCATAAGTTCAGGGCTTGCACGGCAAGCACCTTTACCCACTGAGCCCTCCCTGCGGCCATCCAGTGCGGCTGGTCTCTCGGCATCTGGTGGTCACCGGACAAAGCAGCACCTGTAGCTGAGGAACCTCTGCCCAGCAGCAGGACTTTCAGTCCCCACCCTTGCCTGCCTCACAATCACTGCACAAGCTGCACGCATGACTGCCACCTTACCACGGTGACAGCAAACAAAGTACTACGCTACTCAGGAAAAAAAAAAAAAAAAACAAACAACCCAGCTGTTTTGTAACAAGAAAGTCTTGGAACATTCTGTTGTGTGCTTTTTGAAAGCTGGGAGGATGATAGAGCCAGGCAGAAGTAAAAGGGAGAAAAAAGTAATGAGGTGAGTCACTGGGATTTCATTGTATTAAGGAGATCAACACTGCAAACACACGGTAATTAGAAGGGGGAGCTGTGCTGGGGACGCTGGGGGCACTTACCAGAGCTGAGCAGCAATCACTGGGTTGCTTGCTGTAAAGAAAGGATGGGAAGTTAAGCAGAACTTTAAAACATTCGGTACACAACACACAGAGAATGACGGGACACGGTCTTCTCTACCGCGGCACGGTCCTCATCTCAAACCAGGCAGCCCTGAACTCTAGGGACTTCTTTCCTGAGCACCTGACATCCCTCCCTCTAACTGATGCTGTTCCTCCCTAGATCTCTAGGCAACTCCAGAGTCGGCTCCCAGGGTGTGCCGGTATGCCGAGAAGGCACCAGGAGGCAACCACACAGCACCCAAAGGCAACCTCAGAACAGTCCTTGCTCCCGAAGAGCTGGTGGTCCTGGGTGGAGATGGACAACAGAACCTGATGAAGGATGAAATACCAGCACACATCTAGGGAAGAACTTGGTGCAGACATTTCTGATGGGGCAGAAGCAGAGCTTGCATAAAAGAGGCTCACATTTACTCAACTATACTTCTTTTCTTTTTGTGTGTTGCTGGGACTCGAACCCACAGCCACCCTACCACTGAGCTATATCTCCAACTCGCCGCACACTTTTCTTCTGAGGGGGCAGAGTTTTATATTGCTCCTGCTGGCCTCAACTACTATATAGCTGAACTTCTTCTGGTCCTCCTGCCTCTACCTCACGGGTGTTGAGATTATTAGTTCATGCAGAACTGGGAGAGAAGATCCAGGCTTTCATTTGAGCTAGGCAAGCACTCTGCCAACCGAGCCATACCCTGCTCTCCTTCCTTCCTTTCAAGACAGCTAGGCCAGGGAAAACCACTCAGAGCTTCACTAAGAAGATACCAGGCCTCTAGCTGGAAAATATGTCAGTAAAATAAATGGAGGAAAAGGATCTAGAGACCAGAAAGGAGGGAATAAGAACCTTGGAGCCAGAAGTCTAAGACAGCCCCAGGCTGTGCAGTGGGGCCTGGCCATATGCTCTACTTCTAGGTCGGCTACACGAGACATTTCCTCCCTGTATGCTGGCGCACACTTGTGGGGACTGGGTGTTTACTACTATATCAAAATGGTGCTTTTTCTTTAGAAGGTGGGTCCCCAGGTTGGCCTGTCTCTGGACACCTGTGACTCAATGGACAATCTCCCCACCCCACCCCTCACACCCAAGTGTGTTCTGCTAATGGAGACAATGAACCTGCATGAGTTCTCACCCCTTTGCTGTCCCCGTACACACTGCCCGATGCTGCCTGCAGTCACCCTCCGTCAGCGGATCACCCTCTCCTGAACACGTTCCCGTTCCCTGGCCTTCCTTTTTGTATTTTCTTTTCTAATTATTTAAATATTTTCACTTATTTTATATCCCGAATGCAGCCCCCCCCCACCTCCTCCCATTTCCTCTGCCCACCTCCCTTGTTCATTGGTTTTATTTTTTGAGACAGGGCTTCTCTGTGTATCCCTGGCCATCTTGGAACTCACTCTGTGGACCAGGCTGTCCTGGAATTTACAGAGATCCACCTACTTCTGCCTCCTGAGTGCTGGGATTAAATGTCTGCACCACCACCGCCTGGCTCCCTGATCTTTCTTAAAGCTAAGGCCAGGCCGGGCGGTGGTGGCACACGCCTTTAATCCCAGCACTAGGGAGGCAGAGGCAGGCGGATCTCTGTGAGTTCGAGACCAGCCTGGTCTACAAGAGCTAGTTCCAGGGCAGGCTCCAAAACCACAGAGAAACCCTGTCTCGAAAAACCAAAAAAAAAAAAAAAAAAAAAGCTAAGGCCATATTTGGGGGGCTCTTGGCTTTTTTTCTCCACTGAAACAGCTGAGAATGACTTAAGACCTGCTGATTGTCACAATACTGTGCTGTTGACTCATAACATAAGGAAATGGGAGTGGGAGACGAAGGTTACAAATTCTAAGGTATATAAACAAGGTTCCACAGAGGCCCACTAAATCCTGGCTATGCAATAAAAATGTACAAAAGCGTCCTCACAAGTTTAGGAGGGTGGCAGAGCTGGGTGCAATGTAAAAAAAAAAAAGGGGGACAAACAATTTAGCGCTAACTGGAGTGTGTTGGATGGAGGACCAATCCGTGTAGAAAATTAGCTATACAGAGCTTCGAGCTCAGATGATGAAGCCAGTTTAAATAGAACTGAGTCAGGAGGGCTCATGTATCGCCTGGCACATTCCAGTCTCAGGCCTCACACAGGCAGGAGCCAGTCAGAGACATGAGGTTCAGGGAGTTCTGAGCAAGAGAGGAACACCGTAGGGTGGGTATGTCTGGGGAACCTGAACTGTGTCTCAGCAGGCTCTGCATCCATGCTTCTATGGACACAGTTCTGGTTTAGCACATACAGTGTCCTCACCAAAAATGGCAAGGCAGTGGAGACAATAAAGGCTGTACTTTCTAAGGGCAAAGGTGATAGATACTATTGAGGATCCAACCCTAAAAGAAGTAGAGAGGCACGTTCGAAGGAAGACAGACAAGAAGAGGCAAACGTTCTACCAAGACTTACGACATTCTTTCCCAACAGCTTTTGAACCAGAGGGTAAGGGCAGTACGTCCCTCTCCTAGCTAACTAACCCTCCCAGCCCTACTGCACAATGCCGGCAAGGGAGGAACACCGTATAACCTTTGAATGTGGAATGTCGCCGGGATGGGTAACGCTTGCTAGGCCTTCTCTCAAAGGTGCTGGTCCTTCGCAATCTGGAGCCGTGTGTAGCTTGATATTCTGTCCGCCCACTAGGAAGGAAATATTTGATTGCTCGTTAACGCCAACACCAGCTCTCGGCATACCACAGCTATTGCAAGTGAATATTTTTATTTTTCAAGAGCTCCAGTGTGCATTTCAACTTAGCGTGAACTCGCCCGGTAAAGACATGCTAAGTTTAAAGCTCCTACTTGGAAATACAGTCTCCTTTGCCAAGCCAGGCACAGGGGCAAGAATCTCTTTCTACCAAAAGCTAAAACCTGCAATTTAAGTACCAACCACTAGGTCGCCCAAACCAAATAGGTCTGAGTACTTGGATCACCTGATGAAGAAAACTTTGATTGGACACAGAATAACCTTCCAAGAAACGCCACAGAGACATTTCCCATTTTGCATCTTCTCCAAGGCGGCTGTAGCAGGCCCCTAAACTAAACCTTGGCTTCCCTTGCTATGCGTCAAAGGAAATGTTTCTAACTTCACGAGGGCTTTCCAGACTCAACCACTGTGAAGGCAGCTGCAGCTTCTGGGAGGGGAACTGTGTTTTTCTGATCCACCCATCACTGCTCCAGCCCAGTTGCTCTTGGCTGGTTTTTCAGACGGAAGGAGCCAAATGCTACTTTCCTTCCAGATGCCTTCCAGGGGTACCCTCACCTCCCAACTTCCCTTCCATCTTCATTTCTCCTTAAGGAACAATGGTCACGAGGTCTGAGCCAATCCTTGGAGCATCTCCCAAGCAGGGAAAAGCCTACTTATTTTGGCAATCTCCTCGACTGCCCCCTCCATCCAACTCCAAATCCACATGGATACGGGTGACTGCAACGGTTCTGTGAACCTCTGCACTGCTGACATTCCCATCCCCCATGGGCCTTGTGATGCGACTCTTTTCCCTCAAGGACCTTTTTCCCCTTCCTTAGAGCATTTAAAAGATACACTCAAACAAAATCTATTCTTTCAACAGAAACGCACAGCCATTGCCTTGCACGGTGGATACACCTGAAGCGAGCAACCGTTCTGGCGTTTCAAACAGAGTCTAGGGACATGCCACGTGTGGGCAGAGGTGACGAAACCAAGCGAAGTTCTTGATCATGGAACTGAGATTCTCAGACTCAGGAGTGCATTTGAGATGTGCATTCCAGGCTGGAGAGATGGCTCTGTGGGCTGCTTTTCCAGGGGACCCAGGTTCAACATCCTACACCCACAGGGCAGCTCACAATTGCCTGCCACTCCAGTTTTAGGACATCTGACACCTTCTCCAGCCTCTTCAGACGCCAGGAACTCACACGGTGCACAAACATACTTGCAGGCAAAACACCCATACACAAAATAAATAAAATTAAAAAAGAAATAAAATTCACATTCCAAGGGCTGATTGATACACACATGTGCATATTCAGACTCTGATCACAGAGGCTCTCTATACAGTTTCAGTTTTAAAGATGCCCTCAAGAGTTTTCATGCATTAGTCTAAACTCAAAAGTGAAAATACTTGAGAATAAGTTTATCTATTCAGGCTCTTTTCATCTTTCAATACACAGAGAAACACATGTACGTGCGTGCGTGCGTGCATGCGTGTGTGGGTACAAACCCACCTACCTACCCACCCCAACACCGCTCTCATCCTTAATCATTACCAAATCTCTTGATACTTCATGTTAAAGGAAACACAGCAATGGTGATGAATTGAAGCACCAGGGCTGGGAAGATGTCTAGGGAGTGAACTACAGACACAGCATGAAGATCCGAGTTCTGATCCCCAGCACCCGTGTCAACAGCAGGGTGTTGTTTTGGATCTGTAATCCCAGCACTGGGGAGGTGGAGCTAGGTAGATCTTTGGAGGTCAGCTGCCTAGCTCAGTCAGTGAGCTCCAGATTCGGTAAGAGGTCTTGTCTCAAAAAATGAGACGGAGAGCAACTGAGGAAGACACTTAGGTCACTCTCAGGCCTCTGTGAGAATCTGCAAGTGCATACATGTATATACCCACTGGAAGAAATCCAACCACCACACATAACACACGCACACAAACGAACAGAAGCACCAAGGCCACTTCTAACATACCCGGCAGGCAGAGAGTTTGTAAACCAGGGACACCTGATCTTAACTAGGATTAAGAGTGGGTCAGGAGGAATTCTAGTGCGGCACCAGCCAACAGAACCTCCTACAAGGACCCTGTGTCCCGTGTCTGCCCCACTCACAGGCAGTCACCACCTGGTGTGGCCACTGGACGCTGGCATAAGGCTGGTTGAGACCAGGGAACTACAGTAGCTTCTTCATGTAGCTCACGGCCACTGCACAGGACAGCACCCCTCTAGCTAAAGGTATAGTCCTGGCAATTGTGTTATTACGTGTCGAGCACACTTCACTCCCAAATTCAAAACATTTGGGGCCCTAAGCTCACAGATCTGCAATGTCAAGTATCAAACATGCAAAGTTTCAAACTGAGAAAAATATCAGCACCCCAACCATTCCTGGCTGCAAGCATTTCACCCCAAATCAGTTCTGTTTTATCGGTAAAGTGATGGAAGCCGAAAGAGGTTGGGACTGGACTTGCAGCTCTTAACAAGGTGGGGGGGGGGCAGAGCAAACCATCCGAATGGATGGACACAGGTCCGATGCTACAGTCATACACAGCACAAAAGAGCTGTCATTCTCTGAAACACGTGGTCCATGTCATAAAGCAATTGCCAACCTGAACCGGAAGCGGGAACCTAGCCGGATGAAGTCCGATCTGGTGGACTTGCTGTTGCTGGGGGTGCGCAGCCGGAAGAAGGCGTGGTGCTCCACGGCACACTTCCACAAGTGCTTGCAGGTGCGCGCACTGTCCAGCCTGAACACGAAGGTGTGCTCCTGCTCGCGGCCCTGAGGGGGGGAAGCAAAGGTCCCGTGGGGACGCGTGTCATGGGGATGCGGGTGATGGCAGCGAGGAGGACGCCAGGGAGCATGGCCTACCTGGTCGTCATCCTCCACCACTACGAGGGTCAGTTTGCTCTTTTTAAAGTCCATTTTGGTGATCTTTGGCCTGGTCAGAGAGAAAGCGTTTTAAAAAGGACAGTCTACGGCCAAACTGTCTACACATCAAACAGTTTCCGTTCTACTTATAAAAGTTTAGATTGGCTAAGAAAAGAAAATCATCACTCACTCATTTAAATATGATTATCTAGAGATTCAGTGCATTGGCCATACACCCACAATGACAATAGGATGGTGTGATTTTTTTTTTTAAAAAGTGAATCTGGGTGTTGCAAATACCCCTCAAAATCATCCAATCACATAGACTTTCCAACACAAAATAGGAAAAGACATTTTTAATATTAGACAAAACTAAATTACCAAAAGAATAAGCCTATTTTGTTAGCTCCTTCAAAGATTAATATGCCTGTCGGGGTCAGTCCAAGAGAATATTCACAGCCATCTCTTCCCTACAAACAAACGAAGTGACAGTCGGTAGAGGGTTCTAACAGGTCGTCACAGAAGAACGCAAAAACAATTTCCTCACCAAAATTTACTTAGTTGGCATACTATGCATTTCTCAGAAACAGTAAAACAAAAGGAGGCAAACACACGGGTTCTTACCCTGACGACGTGCATGTCTACCCCGTACATCTCCAGCCACTTGGCTTTGTTGAGATAGGAGAGTTCCGCCTGGGCAGGGCTCTTTCCCCTTAGGAAACAAAACCAATGAGACACGTGTGAACTGCGACTCACACGCCCTGCAGGGTCTGGAGAGCCTGCTGGGCTGCAGGTCATGCAATCGTTATAGCCGTGGAGGATGCAAGCTTACAAGGGTGGGAAACCATCTCCAAGAACCCCGTGTTAACTGAATAGGAAGACCACAGAATGGTGTTTCTTAGGATAACCGAAGGAAAAAGAGTGTATGCCAGGTAGTGGTGCTACACACCTTTAACCAGCACTCAAGAGGCAGAGGCAGGAGGATCTCTGAGTTCCAGGCCAGCCTGGTTTACACAGTGAATTCCAGGACAGTCAGGGGTACAGAGAAATTCTATCTCAAAAGCAAATAACAAAAAAGGAAAAGAAAACAAGAGTGTGCTTCTAAGGCAAAGGGAAAGACTTCCTCCTGGCTTTCCTCTGGGAGAACGAAGGCCGTGTGTGAGGGAGTAGGTGGGACACTTTGACTGAACATCTCTGCACACTTCCCTATCGTTGGATGACAACATTCGTGCCATCTTTAATTTTTGAAGTCATCAGAGAACTGAGGGGCAATAGAAGGCCACACTAAGTCACGTCCAAGACTAAGCAGGAACAGGTGCTCTGTGGTGTGTGTGCGTGCGTGCGCGTGTGCGAGAGAGAGAGAGAGAGAGAGAGAGAGAGAGAGAGAGAGAGAGAGAGAGAGAATGCATACACATGCACGCACGCATGTGTGCATGGCTGGCAAACTGCCTTACTGGTCTACGTGAAACAAAAACAAGTATGTTAGATTAGGGTGGAGGCAGCAGGGAAAACCGGCAGTCACCACGCTGACTCTCAGTGTAGTGAGCACACTTTTAGACATATAATAACACCACATGTCACACGGTCTCACCACTTCACCATAGGTGATGGGCCAAGTATGCCTGACCTAGAATGTGAGAGACCAAAAATACATGTGGTCCCCCGCCCCACTCAGACTGTCAAGTACAAGTGTGAAGATAGTGAGCCTGCTGTGACGGGTAAGGCCCAGCTCTCAACACAGAAGTCAATTATGTCACGTTCACCTGGTACATAAAACTGCAAGGTCCTGGAGGTGATTTCATGCATATTTAAAAACTGTTCCTATGATTAGACTTCAGCCTGCGCAATAAAGCCTGGTGTGCATTTCTCAAATGGATCACCACGCTGCTGTTCAAATGTTTCACATTTTAGATTCAGAATTTGGGCACTAGGGATGCTTCACCTACATTTCTAAAAGATTTGTTCTAGAACAGTGGTTCTCAATCTGACCCTTGGCAGCGGGGGTGGGGTGGGGGTAGTGTGATCACACAGTAGACATCCTGCATATCAGATATTTACATTACAATTCATAACGGTAGCAAAATTACAGTTATGATATAGCAACTAACTAGTGTTATGGTTGAGGTCGCCACAACATGAGAGATTGCATTAAAGGGTCACAGCATTAGGGAGGTTGAGGACCACTGCTCAGGATGGGTAGGACCTTGTAAGTGTAGCCTTTTATCCGCACCTGGGGTGTCACTAATGAGACACAATCAAATCAGACAGAAGCTGTGTGTTTCAGAGACAGAAAATAGCATGGCTTGACCTGTGCACATTTCTCAGAAGAGAGGTGACACGCAGGTCTTTTGGAAACAGGTGTGAAGTCCAGGAGAGAGGTTCCAGCCTGGTACCTACGGAGCACCTCTCTGTGAGACAGGGCACACTGCGCTGAGGACGGTCATGCAACAGGTCTTCAGAAGGCTCAGACGAGCACAGAGGACAAACCAACGAGCAGCTCTGACCTTGAGAGAGGGGCACTGAGGTACCTGTACTCTTTCCATCGCTGGAAGATATCGAATTCCATGGCTTCTGTCTGATTTGGGATGAACCGAAACTCAGACACAAGCTCCGGTGTGTGTTCCGGGAGCTCGCACTCCCCCAGCTCCGCTGTGCAGTTTATAAAAGGGAGGAAAAAGAAGACACGGAACACTTCAGGTTAGCGCTGCAACTCAATCCAAAGGCATTCTTTCTGATCAGAAGGTGCAGGTGCCTCTGAGGTAGAGCCCTCTCGTTATCAGCTTCCCTCAGAATTCCTGGTCATTGTACCCTTCCCTCCCATAAGATAAATACACCATCATCTTAGTCATTATTCTCTTTCTCCTCACTGCCTCCCCCACCTAGGGAGGTCTGGCTCACATGTCCCTGGGAAGTGGAAATTTGCAATAAAAGGCGATTGCAGGCCACGAGGATATGCCTGAGAGCATCTTCTACACAGGGCTCTCCTTAAGCACAGGCCAGAGCAGCACTTTAGTGTTTGCAGGGCTGGGAAGGATGGATCAAGATTTTGGTGCATGCAGAATCTGACTGAGGGATAAAGAAGCAGGGAGGGGTGGCGAGCAGGCTGCAGGAGCAACTGCGGCAAGTCAGGCAGAACGGAGAAGGGGAGAGGGAGATGGCTGCGCAAAAGAGGGCTAGCAACAGGAAGCTTGCCGGCAAAAAGCCCAATGTGCACCGCATGGTTTCTGCTCTTGCCAAACTGCAAAACAGAGGGCCCAAGGACATGATGGCCCTCTCCTCTAGATCACGAATGAGAAAATCCACTTGACCCCTGCAGATTTCAGAATAAAAGGGAATCCCCCTGTTTCCTCTATAACCTGGTTTCATAAGCGTGGGCTTCAGGTCAGCAAGTGGAGATGCCGCCTAGGGGCTGAATCACTATGCGGACTTGAATGCCCATCCCGGAACAGCCCAGACCCTGCCAGCCATTTCACAAGACCCTCAGGGCTTGGTGCACTTTCCTGGGAGAGGCAATGATCCCCAACAGCTGTTTTTGAGCTTACAGCGCAAAAGCATCATTTAGTAGGCTCGCTGAAGCGTAACATCACTGGGGTCCCGCACCCGGATTTTGTTGATCTTCATATGGACCCAGGCCCAGAATTGAATGTAACTGTGGGTGACCTGTAACTTCTGGTCTCCCACTTTCACCACTGTACCTGATTTTATGTGGGACTGGGGATGGAAATCAGGACTTTATACATGCTGGGCAAGCACTCTACCAGCAGGGTTACATCCCCAACCCATCAAGTTTGTACTTCTAACAAATTCCCATGTGATGCTGACATAGCTTTGCATGGTCTGGAAAGAGACTCCTATGGTATCTCATGTACCCATAGGCAAACATGACTCAATAGGACCCTGTGGTGGCCCTAACTGTCTGGTTTTGTTTTGTTTTGTTTTTGAGACAGGGTTTCTCTGCAGCCTTTGGAGCCTGTCCTGGAACAAGCTCTTGTAGACTAGGCTGGCCTCGAACTCACAGAGATCTGCCTACCTCTACCTCCCAAGTACTGGGATTAAAGGTGTGAGCCGCCACCACCCGGCTGGTGCCCTTAATTGTCAAGATTAAGTACGCCAAAGACACAGCAAGAAAGAGGGCAGTGTCCCTTCCAGCCTTTGCTGTGCTTCAGCGGGCCTGAGGAGCACCTAGGACACCAGTGTCTTCCAAGAACATGCTGAAAGAGCTTGGCACTCCAAGAATCTCCAGGTTCTGCAGCCAGGCTCTGGCTCCTGGAGGCCATGGAAGGTAAGGGAGATGGCTCTGGTGTAAAAGAGACTCAACTCCAACCCTGCTGGAGCTATCTGGGTGACCTGGGGCCCATTACGGAGATGCTCCCAGGTCTCTACCTGAGACGTGGGAGTTATTATTACATGGACGAAACCAGAACACTGTCGTGCAACAGACGATCTCAAATCCCTCTGACCCTTTCCCTTGGGTTGATTCTCAAATATACCACAAATGCATTCCCCAAAGAGCGCATCCTCCACGGAAGGACAGTAGCTCGACTCAGGGGGCACGATTCATTCAAGAGCAACGGTAAGACAGGCCCTAAAGGCTCAACCCCCAGGGGAAACTGCTCTCTAATTTTATTCACACTGACCAATCAAAGCAACTTCTCACAGTGCAGGGCTCCAGAGGAAAGCAGGTGAGACCATGGGGAAGGAATTGTGATAAGCACTTCCCCATGTCCCTCAACAGTCTTCCAAGTACTTATTTGTACCTGACTGTCCTTTAAATTACCCTACAGATAGGGCAGCTTCTCCAGGAAGGGCTCACAGAGGGCCGCTTTCCTCTTCTCTGTGCAGCTTTCACAGCCTCACTAAGCCGGACCAGCGAGGGCAGAGGTGTGCCTCCTCCTCATCACTCAGGACAACAGGACAGGCTTGAAACACTGTGCCAATAGCCTCGGGAGGAAGCTTCTGTGGTGATGAATGGCCCCAGGCCTGACCCGGGTGCTTGGGTGTTTCCCTCTCATTACCACTACCCTGACAGGTCCTTCGGGGCTGCCAAGCCTGATGAGGCCTCTTGCAGCTCAGGAACCAGTGCAGATGAAGGCTACTGTCTATGCTGGTAAAATCTGCAAGTGGCCGACACAAGAAGCTGGGAGCCTCTGCCACGTCTCCAGTCCCTCCTACAGCACGGCTCTCACAGGAGGCCCGTCGCATCAGAGGACACGGGGAGAGGAAGCACGCAGCTCTGTATCTCACACAGCTGTCTCTAGATAGCACCACTGTCCTCATCACCACCGGAGCTTTCAAACTGCACCGAGGGTCTCCCCAAAGTTATTCCTCTATTCGTTCTGCACTCACCGAGCATCTGTTCGGAGGGCAGTAAGGACTATAAGTATTCAGGGATGGGAATGCACCCATTATCAGCAAAATATCTTTACATGTATAAATGTGACAATGTACAAAGACTTTTAGAAAGGTAAGGAGGTCCAGGGAGATGCCTCGGCAGATAAAGGTGCTCGCCGCCAAGCCTGGTGATATGAGTTCGAGACCCATGGCGCACGTGATGGAAGTAGAGAACCAGCTTCTGCAAGCTGTCCTCTGATCTCTTCGAAAGCGCGCTCACTTGCGCAGGCAGACACACTAAATTAAAGCGTAACAATGTACTAGAAAACCACACACATAAATTTCTCTATTATTCTAGCCTGAATTACGTTTCTTTAAAAAAAAAAAAATCTAAACTCATTAACAGAAGAGGTAGCTGCTGGTGGGTGGCGGGTGGGGAAATCACGTGCTTTCTAGGGCCTGCCTGACTGCTGTGTTGCCCTGCCGGGAGTCTGTGATCCTATGATCTGACCTTGTGACACCTCTCAGATCAGCTTTTCTTAAACTAGTAAAATATGAACTGGTTAGATGACAGATCAAGACACTTGCCACCGAGCCTGACAATCTAAGCTGGATATCCAGAACCCACATGTGAAAGGGGAGAACCACTCTCCAAAGTCGTCTAACAAGCTGCCACACTTACAGTCACACACACACACACACACACACACACACACACACACACACGAGTGAATGTCACACGTCATAACCCAGTGAATGCCCTCTGATAAGCACATGCTAATGAAATCTCATCCTCTTAATTAGTGCTGGAGAATTAAGCAAGCGTTTCTCCTGCATTTAAAATGAAGATCCGCCAGCACCTCCCACAGACGAACGAATGGTCAGTGTTGGACGGTCCTGTAGGCGCACCTCCTGCCGCCCAGCTCCCACCTGCATGCTGGTGACTTCAGCCCCTCTTGGCCAAGGGCCACACAGGCCACTTACTCCCCAGGAGTCGCCTTTCCCTGTACCCACTCACTGATGCCACCACCTACCCTCCGCAGCAGCCTGAGTCATCCCCAACTCCTTTCTCACATTAAGCCTCATTAGGGAATCCAGCTCCTGGCACTGCCGTGGCGGCATTCACTGCGTGCACACCCACCTGCCCTGCCCGGCGTCTTACTATCTCTGTTCCGGTAACAGCCCTCCTCACTCCAGCCCCTGTATTGGCCCCGTTCCAATTCTTTCTTTCCACACAGCCAGTGTGGCCTTTCCAAAATATCTACTACCCGGGCCTGCCCCCTTAAGAACATGCGAAGAATTGCTGCTGGCCCCACCAAGTTCATAGTCTTTAGATGGGGCCAAAGGCTGTTCGCCAAGCCAGTTTCTTGAACTTCACACTGTGATTACTATCTCTGTGACTTTATTGTTTGCTTGCTTGCTTTCTGTTTTTTTTTTTTTTTTTTTTTTTTCTGAGACAGGGCCTTAGGTAGCCCAGGTTGGCCTCAAACTCATACCTATTAAAGGATGACCTTGAACTTCTGATTCTCCTATCACCTCTTAAGTGCTAGGATTATTGGTGTGCATTACCACATTTGGTTTTATGTGATGTACAAAGCTCAACCAACCTATACTCCGGGCGGTGGTGGCACACATCTTTAATCCCAGCACTTGGGAGGCAGAGGCGGGTAGAGCTCTGTGAGTTCAAGGCCAGCCTGGTCTACAAAAGCTAGTTCTAGCCAGGGCTGTTACACAGAGAAATCCTGTCTCAAAAAACAAGCAAACAAACAAACAAAGAAAAACCCAACCAACCTTTATCTGTAACAGTCCCTTATAAGAGCCCCACCCCAGACTTGAAGTACTAGGAAGGGAACCCAGGGCCGCGCGCACAGCACACCAAGCAGAAGCTGCATCTCCCCTTCTCTTTACTTTTTTCCACAGGTTCTGCTAGTCACCTTCCTCTCCACATCCCCCCACGGCCCTCCTCTCCCAGACCTCCTGTGTATCTCTGCTGCTAGTAAAACAACCATATGCTCCGTGTGCCTTCGTCACCAGACTGTAAGCTCCTGGGGACTGAGGTCACACCATCTTACTCTGCATCCTGGGAGAAAGCAGGACACTGGGCCTGGCATACTGGAGACTCTCTCTTACTGAAACGGAAGCAATAACTTTAAGATGAATGTACCTTGCAGACAGAGAGCAGCCAGTTCCACAGCCGTTTCATAGGGACACTTCAGTCTTGGGAAAAGAAAAAAAAGAAAAAGAAATTAGCACTGCAAGGGAGCTCTCCATTTGGAACTACGTAACAAATAATAGTAAAAACACCCTTAAAAGGCAGCAGTGTTTATGTAGCGTCTGATGCTAGTGGGTTGTATTTTCCGTGTCTATGTTAAAGAGCACTAATACACACTCCAAATTTCCCAGGGCAGTTCCCTGCATATGACAAAACTATCCAAGTATTCGTTCTACCAATCGTGCAGACACTTCTACTGAACTCGAAAAGACCTGGGGATGTTTAGGAGGCAGAATGAAAGCCTTCTGTTTGTCTCGTTAGCTTAAACTGATTTCCTCTGGATACAGTCCATTAGTCTTTCCGAGCTGCCTTCAGTCTTCCTTGAAACAAAGCCAGGAGGGTAAAAAGACACACACCAGCAGCGGGTCTACAACTTCGAGGACCACTAGCTGAGCTCGGCATGCTAACAGGTCCAGCCGAGGCAGAGCTACTGCAGATTCCAAGGCTGGCTAGGAGAACTGTATTGATGAACACGGCACGGTGCTTCCTAGTTCTTAAGGTCTTCTCATATGTGTGATACAGCTGAGTCAATGTGTAGTCTGTAAACTCTTAGGATGGGTCTGGCCAGCGCCCCCCACCCCATTTCTCATCTTCCAGATGAGACAGTGAATCCTCAGCATCTTGCCCAAAGTCTTCCAGCCGACAGGAGGCAGTGCTGGGCTCAGAACACTCTCTCGGTTAGAAGGTAACAGCTGGGTGGAAGTGGAGAGAAACTGCAAAGCTCTAGCCATGGAGGAAGTACTGTCATCAACGCTTTCCAAACCGGAGACACGTTCCACAGTGACAGGGCCTTCAGCGTGGTGAGCACGGAGCTGACGGCGGTAACAATGCACACATACTCAGCACACGTCAGCCAGATATGTACTGCATGGCTGAGGAAGGCCAATGTATACGCTCTACAGTCTACCATCCCATTGCCTACCTGTCACTCAACGTTTTAGACTGCATTTCCTACTAAGAATTTGCAAACACGGATATTACATCTTATTTGTTACATTTAAGTTTTTATTTATGGAACTGACATATTTGGTTTTGCTGTTTGAGACAGGGTCTTACTGCATATCTCGGACTGGCCTCAGACTCGCTCAGATCCACCCGCGTCTGCCTCTCCAGCTCTGTGATGAGATGTCTGGACCACCACAAATGGCAGAAATCACCCATTAAATTTCCTTCAGATTACATTCAAAATCAGGAAATATTCCTGGTGGTTAACATGAGGTACTGCTTCTTAGTCTTAATAAAGACAGAGTTGTTTTTTTTTTTTTAATGTAACAGAAAATATGCGATAACTCTTATTGGAAAATGATTAAAGTTAATTTGAAAAAAATATTATTTATTTATTCATATAAATAGATAAGGTTGTGTGTGTGTGTGTACATTGTGCATACGTGCTCAGACGTTAGGGGATATTGCACATGCCACAGCATGTGTTTGGAGGTCAGAGCCTAACTTTTGGGCCCTAGGGATCAAACTCAGGTTGTCTGGCTTGCACGCCTTCACCTGCTGAGCCATTTTGTCAGCCTTCTTCCTCTATGAATGCTGTTTGGTGACAACATGATAATGTGTTTTGCTAATGGTCACCACAAGCCCAATGCCTTGAGCTTAAATAGCATTTTTTAAGATGGGAAAGGAAATGAGATGAGGAGCCTAGAGCCCTTCTAGCAGGGCCAGATAAAGACCCCTTTACATGGCTTCGGCGTGACAGTGATGAGCGGGACCTGTACATGTACACATGTGGACATGTATGGGGCTTGCAAATACAAGGGGAGCCAGCAGGAATGGGGCAGTGATGTGACAGGGAGACGGTGGTCCCCGAATACACATCATTCAAGAAACTCAGTGCACGCACTTGGAGATCATTTAAAAAAAAAAAAAAAAGGACAAAAATGATAGCGGCTCAAGTATCTATTGGGAAGTACTGTTTTTTAATTTGGTAAAGAGGATACAGGGAGGAAGAGTTAAAACAGAGAATTACTGAGGTATATTATACTCTATGCCGGGTTAAGAGTTAGAACAAAAGCATACTTACTTTCCAGAAAGAATGTCATGCCTGAGTTGTAAAACAAACAGGTACCTGACAAACATACACAAAAGTCAACAGAGGGGAACTCTTCCCTTTCCCAGCCGCCTCCAATCCCCAGCCTCCCGTCACAAATCCCCCACCCCACCCCCTGCACATGCCCTGGCATTCTGTGCTGTCAAAAGGGAGTCCAAACGAACAAGGAGGACGGGAGCCTCCTTCGGAGCCTGTGCAAAGGCATCCTAGGTCTCACTGGGCTGGGCCGAGAAATGCATGTCGGAAGTTTGCAAGATACTTGTAGGATGGAGCAGGGATACAACATCAAGCAGTCTGATGCTACTTGCAGGATGGCTCTGGTGCAGGAGAAACTAGCTCAACAGGCACAGAGAACTCAAAAAAAAGAAAAAAGGCAAGCCATGCATCTAAGAAAAATGGGCAGGGTGGCATCACTGAGCTGGCAGCTGGCCAGCTACACCTAGCAGATTCCAGAAGTCTCTCAAAAAGTCTGCAGGGTCTACTGAAAACCACAGGCTTTTCTTCTGGGTGTAGTTTAAGTGTTTACTCTGTCTTTAAAAGAAACAAACTAAACACGCATGCAAACCATGCCACACACAAACACACACACACAAATCCCAAAATTACACTACAGATAATTACAGTGATAATAAGAAACAAGAAGGAAAGTAGCAAAAAAAAAAAAAATAAGAAGGCTTACCAAGCAAAAAAAATAAATGTCTTCATCTCAACTAAAAGTCTTTTCTTTCCAGGAAGATGTGGGCACCAGAACCACTTTGTACCAACCAAAGCCTCCCACACTTCACTCCAGACCTAGGGAGTCAGGATCCTACACTCGAGTGGTCCCCAGGAATCCCATTTGTTCAAAAACTTCCCAATGTTTTCGATTCACACTCCTGGCTTAAAAAATGACTAGCTTCGGCGACAACTAGGGACAACACATGTCATAAGGACCTCCAAAGAGACACACTGAAGCTGCTTAATGAGCTAACCTTGGAAGCCATGTGGGCAGTCCTTTTCTGTGGAGTGGCTATACGCTTTGGATGACCCAGAAATCAAAGTGGGCAGGCAGGTTGAAGGTTCTACCTCATTCCGCAAGATTTCTGCTTCCCAACAGGTCCTTAACTACAACAGAACTTCCTTCCACTTCTGAAATTTAGGACGCTGACGTGTATTAGCACCAACAAGAGCATGGTGTCCATGCGACCGAAAGGTCTGATTCTCGTAGGGAACCCAACAGGAAAAGCCCCTCAGGCCCTTGTCATGGGCACTAGTGACAGCTTTTCAAATGTCACTTAGGGGGTCCTCTCCAAGTCGCTGACCACCAGTGTAGGCCACCCACCCATGCACAAGTCACTGCTACACTGCCTCACACACAAACCCCGTGACGAGGGTACTCTGGGGATCTCAAGAGCCCGCTAAAGCATTCCACAGACGGAGGGGAAGCTCCACACTCCAACCCCTATTCACATTCTCTTTATTCTTCTCTATTGCTTCTGAAATTCAAGAGATAAACATAGACATTTATGACATAAAAATATGCAGCGGAGCTGAGAGATATATAAAGAGGGTCCTAACAAAATCTGCGGTGACAGAGTCGCTTATAGGAAGTGAAAAGTTCCTTCTACCTGAACAATCAGAATGCTCTGCAACACTAAATAAATAAATAAATAAATAAATAAATAAATAAATATCTTCTCCCAATATCTCCATTTTTGTTTTGTTTTGTTTTTGTAGTGAAGACAAAGATAAAATGCCATACATGAACCCATCACTTCCCCAAGATCCAGAAAAATCCACCTCATTTGATTCCTATGCGAAATATCAAATTAAGCACACTGGTGGATTTTCAAGAGGGTAGAGAAGCCTGGGAAAAGTGCTAGTAACTTTTGCTTAGTAACACAGAGGACTAAAATCCGAAGCTAGCCATCCCACTGGAAAGACCTCGCCCCCTCGTCTGGCGGGGGCGGGGCTACTGAACGGAATCATCTTGTGTGAAGCCCTACCTTGTAAACTCCTCTCGAAGGTTGTTTGGCTCCGAAGAATAGTATTTGACTCGAAAGTGCAAAGCGTAAGCAGGTCCAACTAAATATTTGGAGACAGAAAGGTAGAAATGTTTGTCTCCCACCAGACAAAAGGAAACAACACATCACAAGGAAGCTCACTGCTCCATCGGGAGGTTGAAAAATGGAACCGAACTTTTAGGTTGACCAGGAGGGTTTAGCGGGGACCGTCACTCTGACAGAAATCCCTGAGGGTCCGGGTGGGTAAAAAGAGCTGGCATTTCGCTATCTCTGATGGGGTTACTCCAAACTGGCACCCACGTTTTACAACGTATAAAACGGGCTGGGGGCAACTGACGGATAAAACAGCAAAGTGTTCTGCGAGGTGGAGACACAGTAAAAATATTTTAAGGCACTTTCAAGAGAATATAATTTCCAGACGATCTAAGCATAAGCATTGGAGAAATATGGCTCCCACACCTGTGTGGAAGGCGCTGGAGCCTTCCTGCTTCCTATTCTCCGTACTGAATCTGAAACTTACTTGAAAATGAGGAAAGGGGGTGTCAAGTTTCTGCATAGTTAGTCAGTCCGTTCTCATTGGCAGGGGCGTCGGATGTGAACCGGGAGCACAGGTGGGGCTCAGTGTCTCCCCAAAATACGCATTCAATTTTAAAGTTCTACTCTCTGGCCAGTTTAAAGGAAGTAGAAACCAGCCATTTAACATCGGATCTACTTACACATCAAAAGATCTCAAACATCTTACCAAAGGAGTTTACTGACAGGTTTAAAAAAGAAAGAAAAGACGTGAGCAGACTGGAGGCTAAGACTTACCTTTCATCTGTTTCTTTATGGGTTTCGAATGGTCCAGCCAGTGCTGAAAGAAAGAAAATGTTTCCTTAGAAACTAAGTACGTGCCCCAAGAGCTCCCTCCACCCCACCCTCTGCTACAAACCCCGGGTGGTTCCACTCACAGAGACCTGAGACTGAGTCAGATCTTGAGCTCCTTGCTGGAGATCTGACACCGCTAGGTATGGTATTAAAAATTCGTGCCCGGAGAGATGGCTCAGTAGTTAAGAACACTGGTTGTTCTTCCTGAGAACCCAGGTTAGATTTCCCAGCATCCACCTGGCTACTCACAACCGTCTGTAAAATCCAATTCCAGGGCATTCAACGCCCTCTTCTGACATCTGTGGGCATTGTACTCACATGGTGCGTGGCATACATATTCAGGCAAAACACCCATACACATAAAATGAAAATAAACAAACATGTAAAGCACCTGCTCTAGGGATAGGAGTTTGGATCCCTGGAACCTGTGTAAAAGCCAGGTAGGTGGAGTAGTAACCTGTAATTCCAATTTAGGAAGGCAGAGAGAGGATTCCCAGAGTAAGCTAGCTGATGAGATTAGAGGTATCAGTGAGCTCTGGGTTTGACTGAGAGACCCTGCCTCAATGAATGAGGTGACAAAGCAAAATCAACCCTCCACATGTGCCCATACACACGCAAATATGCATACGCACACAAGCCACACATGTAAACGGAAAACCAAATAAATAATCTGCTTGGACATGTAAGTGCATTTTTCTTACAGCTAAACTTTCCCAAGCTTTTAAGGAGTTCAGCAAGCTCTGAAACCCCTAAAAGTCTGACCTGTAAAGTCCCTTCTAAAACTTCTAGGTTGCTGACGATACTGATGGCCCACCATGCTGCTGATCTTCACTGGTAACTCCGGGTCTCTGCCAGTCTCACAAAGAGCACAAACTCCCATTTGCTGGCTAAGCGTTGGTTACACACCTGCCTTGTGGTTCTGACTCCCTCAACTCTGGAATCACGGAAACAAAGTAAGGGAGCCCTCACTCCCTTACACTCCCAACCCCCATCACTGACAGAAAGACAGGCAGATGGTTCAGCTGTGGCCAGCGAGGATTTCAACTGCTCCTCATATGTCTCATATAATCTACTTCAGTTTTATCTGCTTAAGGAGGTTACAGAGCCATTTCCCTCATCTAAACATTTATGTGAAAGTTGTTGACACATGCTCAGGAGCCTAACTTCTACAGAGAACACCAAAGAGGTATAACATCCAGATAAAGCCATCCTAAAGAGAAGACATTGTGAATTAAAAATGCATTTTATCCTTCTGGCCCCAGTATCCCACTTGGGTACATGGCAGACCATGGAGTGTTAGGCCCATGATTGCATGGTTGTACCTGGAATCTCAAGACAGAACAGCACTCGCAGTCAACAGCCCGGGAAAGGTTAACATCCCAACCTGAGGTCTGGTCGCTATCACTCTCATAGCGTTATAAAGCCGAACTGTCGTGAGCCAGGGGCTATCTGCACTCTGAGTCTCTCAGATCAAACCCTAATGGCAAGGGACCATGTGGCTGGTGGCTTTTGTGCTTCCTGTGAGGGGTCCAGGTATGGTACTCAGCTTGTTCTTACTGGATCGAGAAATGTGAAGCATGACTTTCGAAATAATTTTGTTATATGTAAGACAATTCCACTTGCAAGGTGCACACAAGTCTGCACCGTGAGTGCACAAGAAGGGCTAGAAGAGGGTGTTGGGTCCCTCAGAACTGAGGTTTCAGATGGCCGTGAGCTGCCATGTGGGTACGGGAAAATCGAAATCCTCTGGAACGTCGGCCACTGCTCTTAACTGCTAAGCCAGCTCCCCCAGCCCACAGTGTGACTTGTTTTTGAAAGGGGGGGGGGCAGACAGTGAGGCAATGCTCACCATCACTGTAAAGCAAGCCCAATGCACACGGGAACTTCACCGTTACAAAAAGAACTGGAATGAAACAGGCAAAGTCGGCTTCTCTCCAGCTGTTCTAACCAGAGGCTAATTCTGCCGACTGCCAGGGACTCGCAGAAGCAATCTACACCACGCACGTGTTACTAATGAGAAAGGGCGGGGCTGAATGAGCACAGTGTACTCCACACCTAACCGCAAAGCCTGAGAGGGCTGTGTAGGAGGAGGGGGGATGTGGAAACACACAAAGAAGCACATAACAGATGAATTAAGGATGCAATAAGCGTGCGGGCGGTGCTACGGAGAGGAGGATGCCGGCCTTTGTCATCCCCACGCTGCCTAGGCGGGGTAATGAAAGCAGATCGCCGCGGCAGGATGCCTATCTCAAAGGCACATGGCCGGGATGCTACATCTCATTGTCGATAGCTTTGAATTGGCAGTGACCTACATGCCCACCAACAAAGACGGGATTCAAAAATGGCTCATCTGTATAATGCAATACTATTTTAAAAGGATGTAGGCTGATATTTACTGCCGTGACAAGAGAGCCACACAGCACAATGCTAAGGTAGAAAAAATAAATCAGGTAGAAAATGACTATTTTCTATACAGACATGTCCAGAAAGATCTGTTGGGGATTTGGAGCGGGGAAACAGGGGTGATTATAACATGAATGCCATTTTCTTTTGCTTTTCTGAAGAGCCTTTTATTTTAATGAGATTATCATTTAGGGGCAGGGAGGCTGGTTGTCTAGTTTGTATTTATTCGCTGTTTGCCTACGAAACACATTTGTTTTCTGAGACAGGATCCCACGTATCCCAGGCTGACCTCAGCCTCTCCATGTACCCGAGGATGACCATGAACTTCTGACCGTCTTACTCCCGAGTGCTGGGAATGCACACCCAGACTGCGCGGTAAGGAGCATCCAACCCGGAGCTTCCGCATCCTAGGTAAGCACACTAACACCCAGGCTACATCCTCAGCTCCATACCAGGCAATTTTGATTAGGAATTTGCAGAACAAGAACCAGACCTCACCACTGCCCTTAAGCATGCCGAAAACCCCTAATCTCGTCCTGGGAAGGATAGACACAGAGAGGATAGAGGCATATCTATACTTCTGCCATGTACCATGCTAATGTCCATGACCAAGCCTGTGCTCAGATGAATTCACCGTTCCCAGGGACAGAAAGCTCTCCTGCAGCCAACCTTTTAGTATAAGCAGCTCCACACACTCAAAGCTTAGAGGAACCCACCCTCTTCTTTCCTTTCTCAGGTTTCCTTATTATTATTCTGAGTAGATCAAGTTCAAAACCACCTTCCCTCTCCTTCCACTGCTGACTCTCATCTCCATCCAAGTCCAACTTGTGCGGTTTCCTCGGCCTGAAGGAAACTCTGATTGTCCATTACAATGCCGGATGAAGTAAAATAAAGAAGCTGGTACCCAGGAGTCACCCAAGAGCTACCAGGCACATTTGCAAAGCATCCATTTCACAGATGCGCCTGGTGCGCCTGTTCCATATTTATGACTCAGTCTTCTATATCCTCCTCTGCAGGAAGATGCCCCGTAGAACGTAAAATGTCCACGGCTCTGTGCGAGCTCTATAAAAACCTCAAGCAATGCCAGGGTTTATGGGCCAGTCCAGGAGGTGAAATGGCCAAATGTCCACAGTTGAGGCTAACATCAGGGCAGATGGATGCCAGATGCTCTTACGGGCAGCAGCCAGCTCCGTCCTGGGGCCACACTGCTAATGGGGCTCCCTTTATCTGTCTTTACGGGGCTTCATTATTTGTATCTAAAGCGGGGCTTGCAAAGAACGAGACCATGAAATACCTGGTGCTTTGGAAATCAAGAAAGGAATCCAAAGTGACATTCTTATTCTGAGCTCCTTGACTCATGGGGCTTTTCAGAACAGGAGTTGGTGGCTTCCTCAGAGGCAACAAGAAAACTACTCACTACCCTGAAACAGAGATGATAAAGCCAGCTGCCGATCATTGGTGCGACATCCCCCCAGAACCCCACACCCTGTGACCTGAATACCAGGGCAACAAAAGCCAGACCTGGCACTTAAAAACTTGTACCCCACGTCAGCTTGAGAGCTGCACCAGAAGCAGCAAGTCCTGTCAGGTATGTTCTTCTGTATCTTAGCTAAACAAAGCAGACCAGCATTGGCCAAGATGACAGCAGACAGCCCCTGAGCTCCTCCACAGACCATCAAACCAGTCACTGCCAGCAGACCGATGCGTTTCTGAGTTCAGATGGCAGGACACCGAGCTCAGCCCTCTCGCTGGTGTTAGCAAGGTGATTTCTTGTCTGAATCTGTCGTGCAGGTCCATCTGGCAAGCTCTTTCCATAAATCAAGATGTGGGATGTGATCCTGGCAGAGACCATCTGTTCTCCTGGAGCAATGGCTCCGGAGATGCGACCGCCATAGGCTCGCTGGAGAATTTAATGATCCGAGTCCTCAGAGGAAGCACTGAAGCTCAGAGGTTAAAGAGTCTGAAATCTCTGTTCATGGAGCCCTTGCCATGAAGGCTGAGTGATGGGACTTGTAGACTCTAGTATCCCACCATGAAGACTGAGTGATAGGACTTTTAGAATCTAGTATCCCACCACAAAGGCTGAGCCATGGGACTCATGGGCTAGTAGTTAGAAATTTCCTTGGCTTTTCAGGAGTATGTAGTTTGCCTTGATATAGGATCCAGAAGGGGTCTGAAGAGGAAATCATATCCACAGGATGAAGAGAGAAGGGACGGAAAGAACACTTGGGGTTCACTCTCCAATTCTGATTCAGGGCTGGGGATAGGGGAACAAAGAGTCTATGATGGGATTTAAACTCACTGTTAGTGTCAGTGTCCCCAGCTCAAGGCCTGGCCTACCACAATCCAAATCGGTGCTAAGCACCATCTCTACATGCAGGAGGGGTCACCCTTCCTCTTCATCCAGAATGGAGCCCACCAAACTCAGAGTGTTGATGTGAGACTTCCTTGGGGATGAGCCTAGGTCTCCCTGCAACAGCTTCCCACTGAGCACCGCTCTCTGCCATGTGGACCCTCCCCTCACTGCGGACTCAGGGACAGGCTACTGGAAGTCTGTTGACCTTCTTCAGTCTATGGGATGCT